CTGCTTCTAGTTTCATCCCTTAGCTAAAATCTGCTACAAAATCTGCTAACACCTGTGATTTTATTGCAGTTCTAGGTTGATGCGTAATGTCATACTCACTTCGCTCTATGGCCCACTTGGCTAACCTACCTGATAACTCTTGTTTATGTAATATATTACGTAGGGATAGGCAGTTACTACAGAGATGTGATGGCATTGAAAATAAGGTCTTAATTTCCGAAATGCCATAATTAAAGCAAGTGCAAGTTTTTCTAGATGAGGATACCGAGTCTCAGCATCTAATAATGACTTGCTAACATAATAAATTGGAAACTGTTTACCTTGGTCTTCACGAACTAAAACAGCATTGACCGCTATTTCTAAAACAGCAAGGTAGATGAGTAGTTTCTCCCCATCCTTTGGTTTTGCAAGCAACGGTGGATTTGACAAGTATACTTTTAAATTTTTAAGCGCTTGTTGACATTCCTCAGACCATTCGAACTGATCCTGCTTTTTTAGAGCTGAAAAGAACCTGAAGCATTTTTCCGATGATTTAGAAATAAATCTTCCCAAGGCTGCTATTATTCCCGTCAGTCTCTGTACTTCTTTTTTACTTGTAAGTGTATCAGGAGTTTTCTCAATAGCTTTAATCTGCGCGGGATTTACTTCAATACCACGTTTAGAAACAAGAAATCCCAAAAACTTACCTGACGAAACTTCAAATGCGCATTTCTCGGGGTTTAACTTCATGTTAAATTTACAGAGAATCTAAAATGTATCAAACAAGTGATGGGTATAATCCTCTTTTTGTCGTGACTTGACGACCATATCATCTATATAGACTTCCATGGTTTTCCCTAAATGTTCTTGAAACATTTTGGTCACCAACCTTTGATATGTGGCTCTGGCGTTCTTGAGACCAAATGGTATTACATTGTAACAGTAAGTCCCCCTGTCTGTTATACATGAAGTTTTTTCCTCATCTATGGGATCCAATTTTATTTGATTATACCCTGAATATGCATCTAAAAAACTTAACAATTCATGTCCTGCAATGACATCAATTAGTTGATCCATATGCGGTAATGGAAAAGAATCTTTAAGACAAGCTTTGTTTAGGCCAATATAATCTACACAAACTCACCACTTGCCATTCTTTTTAGGTACTACTACAGTATTAGCTAACCAATTTGGATATTTTACCTCGCGGATGGACCCAATTTTTAAAAGTTTTTGTACCTCGTCTTGAATCAACTGATTTTTGAAAGATCCCTGCTTTTTTTTCTTTTTTTTGACAGGTGGATATGATGGATCTTCATTTAACTTGTGAGTCATTACTTCCGGAGGTATTCCTGTCATATCAGAATGGGACTAGGCAAAACAATCCACGTTAGTTTTCAAAAATTCAGTCAACTTACCTTTCATTTCGCGGCTTAGGTTGGCCCCAATATAAACTTTCCTTTCAGGCCAAAGTGCAAATAATACTACAGCTTCCAATTCCACAATTATTGTTTTGATGTTTTCATTTTCCTCTGGTTCTTGGATGGAATCGGGCCTCGAGTCTACATTTGTTCGCTCGTGTTCAATTGAGGCTGGTGTTGCAGCATCCTCAACTGGATTCTGTGATTGCTATTTTTCTTCATTTTTTGCACTTGAATCTGCTACGGAGTTGATTCTCCTAGACATTTGTTGATCACTACGGATTTGGCGTATTCCTCATTGTGAAGGGAATTTAACAACTTGATGCAGAGTAGATGGCACAACATCCATTTTGTGAATCCATGGTCTACCGAGAATCATATTGTAAGCCATGTCCATCTCTACCACCTGAAATGTGTCTTTGACAAATCCTTCTACGAATGTGGTGAATATTATCTCCCCTTTTGTTACGACGCTTGAGTTGTCAAAACCAGATAAAGTGTGCGCCTTTGGTATCAGCTTGCATTTCATTTACCACTCTTAGCAAAATGATATTCACAGAGCTACCTAGATTAATCAAAACTCATTTTACATTAGTATCATGTACAAGTAAAGATATTACCACTGTGTCGTTGTGTGGGGTTAGTATGCCATCTACATCTGCATCATCAAATTTAATACTTTCTTCTTCCAAAATATGTCGAACTCACTTCCTGTGTGTGAATGTAAATTTTGAAACTTTCTTGGCTGTCGTATATGTCACGCCACTAATTTCTTATCCTCCGCTTATAACATTAACAATCCTTTTTGGTAAAGAGGGCTTAGGGGGATCCTGTTTGTTCTTCATATACACTTGCTTACCTTTTTCACTAAACAATTCGGTTAGATATCCTTGCTTTAACAAATGGTCAACTTAACCTTGTAACAATCTACAATCTTCCATTTTGTGACCATGATCGTTGGGAAACTTGCACAAGAAATCAGGATTTCGCCTATTCGGGTTTTATCTCATTTCTTTTGGTCATCGCACCTTATCCCCATGTTTCTTAATACTGTTACTAACTCTGACGTGCTAACATTGAAATTGTAACCGCCAAACTTCGCCTTTGAGCCTCTATCATCATCTCGCACCTCTCGCGTGTTTCACGCTTTTCCAAACCTTGATGATGACCCTGATTCTCTTTCTCCCGATCTATGATCGTACCTTGAGTTATCCTTCTTTAAACAAGAGTCTCTTCCGGCTGGTCCCATGAAGGGCTTGTACATGTTTTTACCAGATCTTTTTTCAATTTCAGCACGTCTTGAACTTACCCTGTCCTCTTTTTTAGACTAAATGATGGTATCTTGTTCTATCCGCAGCTTCGTGTTGTATCTGTTGTAAATATCATTTCAAGTTGTTACTGGAAATTCACGCAGACTTTCCTTGAGTCATCTTGTGGCTTCTGAACTTTTCTCATTTAGATTACTGGCAAAAGCCATAGCTTCCCAATTATCAGGTACGCGTGGTAACATCATCCTTTCACACTGGAATCTGTCTACGAATTCTCTAAGAAGCTCTGAATTTCCTTGCTTTATTTTGAAAATATCCTCCATTCTTTTTTCGACTTTTTGAGCTCCCGAGTGTGCTTTAATAAAAGAATCCGCAAGCTCAGCAAAAGAATTTATAGAATTTTTGGGTAAAAGAGAATACCATGTTAATGCTCCCTTAGTGAGTGTTTCACCAAATGTTTTGACCAATACTGATTCAATTTCTTGTTTGGTCAAGTCGTTGCCCTTTACACCAGTTCTGAATGCAGTTACGTGGTCTCGTGGATCAATTGTTCCATCGTATTTTGGAATATCGGGCATCTTGAATTTCTTCGGAATTAGTAGAGGAGCGGCACTTGGATTTAAAGGTTGTCGTGAATATTTGTCCATATCTATTCCCTTGATTACAGGCGGTACTCCGAGTATTTTCTCTATGCGGTCGCTTTGCTACTTGAGCTGTTTCTGGAAAGTTAAAACTAAATTTTGTAAATCAGAATTAACTGTGTTACCTGGTTCTCCATCACGAGACTCGCTGGGAGTTCCACTACTGCCTGAATTAACGAGTCCAGAACGAGAGTTTTCCAAAGTGTTGTTATTTGGAGTTGGTGTTGGCGGTACAATAGGCAACTGGCTAGTAAAAGCCTGGAGAGCGTTGTTGACCTGTTGAGAAATTAATTTTTTAAGAGCTTCTTCGATAGCTTGTTCATTTGAAACTCTGTTATTTTCATTTTATTCAGATCTGTTTGGAGTCCCCTCTCGTGATTGTCGCTGAGAATGTTGTGGAGAAGGAGGTGGGGTTCTGTCATCTTGTTCGTTCAGTTGATGTTGTGGATCTTGGAGTGGTAAATTGTGCTAGTTATTTTCGTTGACATTCGACATGGTTATTTTTGACAGAAGAATAGATTTGGAAAGCAGATGATTATCAGATTCCCGGTAATGGAACCAATTTGTTTAACTAGAAATTGGAATTTCGGTCAAAGCTTGTTTTAGAAAAACTCGGGTTACTGATAATCAAGTAGAAATAGAAATAATTGGTGTAAATAATAGTTGAATAGAAAGTAAAGTCAATCAGTATATTCCAATAATATTTTGTGTCCTTACAAGTATTCATTCCTCACCTTTTATAGCTATTTCTAAGTAATACGTTTTTCTCCTTTCATAATGGAGCCATTATGGACAATTAATGGCATTTAATGTAACGTTATAATTGGCAATCGTAACTGTTTCAATACAGATTCTATAATGTTTTCCGTAATTAATGTCTATTAATTACCAATAATACGTATCTATATCCTTTTGCTATTTAGGTTCATTCTTCGGATACCTCTTCAGAATATCAAGAGGTTCGAGCACCTATCCTTTCTAGCTTTGTTGGATCTTTGCCCGCGCCTGGTAAAACTCATGCCTCTTCAAATATTTTTTGCCAACTGTCATTCCTTTACCAATCCGCGTGTCATAACATGTCACCACATAATTAATTCGATATATTAATTTGATTTTCCCAATATAGTTATAATATGATATGGACCTCCAAAGGAATAAGCTAATATAAGCCAAAAGGTATTTATAAGCATATGTTTTCTGGTGTATGATTCCCTTAGATTTCAGGAATGAAGTAATTTCAAAGTTTATAAATTCAAGATCATTATTTGTTCTGATGGTCTTAATGGAGCAATCAAATTGGTTTTTCACCATGGCAGGGAAGGCCTTGATTATTTGTAAGGCATTGCTCTTGCAACTAAGTAGATGAGTCCAAGTACATCTGTTGTAGTTATCTACTAAGGTAATGAAATATTTATTCTTGTCATGTGTTGGCACATGATAAGGCCCCCATAGGTCAATGTGTAAGATTTCAAATATTTTGGTTGTTGTTATAGTTCTTTCTGAGAAAGGCAACCTATTTTGTCTAGCCATTGGACATATTGGACAGATAAAGGGTTGTTTGGATAAGAAATGGAAAGGTATAGATTTAATCCCTCTAATTTTGACAAAGGGTACATGCACCAATCTATTGTGCCTCAAAAGATCAATCGTGTATTTATCATTCATAGATGCATTACATGCAGAATTAGTATTTACTTTAGATTACACATAAGAGTTGGTAACAAGTTTATTACATTCATGTGATAAGTGTATGAATTGGTCACAACAGGAGAAACAGAATTATGCAAGCTAGATACAGTATGTGAAGTAGGGTGAGAACTAATGCTATTGACACTGGTTATACTAGATGAAGTAGGCTGAGTGACTACATCACCTTTATTTGATGCACTAGATGAATTATCAAACACTAAAGAATTAAGCTTGCAGGAATCTGGATTGTTGGACTTGCAAGAATCTGTTTTGTAAAGGTACAGACCATCCTTACTTTCACCAATTGCCAGAGGCCTCTTCAGTGAAGGGTCTTGTAGAAGGATGCAAAAAAATTTGGTGAATATGACAAAGCAATCAAATTGAACTGTCAGACAGTGAACTGAGATTAGGTTGAACTTGAAACTAGGGACAAAGAGGACTCTTTTCAAAGTGAACTTAGGACTCATTACCACATCTCCCATTAGTGTCACTTTCACCTTATAGCCATTAGGTAAAGTAACTAGAAAAGGGTAGACTAAGGTCTTTATGTTAGTTAGCATGGATTTATTATAGGTCATATGGTTTGATGCCCCAGAATCAAGAATCCAAGAGTCAGTAATAGACTTCGAAAATTCATATGAGCCAGATTCAGAATCAAAATGAGTTGAACAAGCTGAAATACCTGCAAAGTTCACAGCTCCTGATTTTAGTTCATTTCCTCCACTTCCAGTATTAAAATTCTCCAGGATGCTCACTAGTTGATTGTACTATTTCTTAGTGAGACTTGCATAGTTCTGTCTTGTTCATGTGCAATACCATTGCTTCCATCTGCACCTTCAATAGCACTCTCTCCCTGTCCTCCATGTACGTTGGCAGCAATTCTCTTTCCTTTATTGAGCCTTGGATCCTGGGGATAGCCGTGTAGCTTGTAGCACCTTGCCTTAGTGTGACCTTGTCTCTTACAATAGCCATAGAAAGGTCGTGGCCTATTCCCAAAGTGTCCTCCTCTATAGTTGTTGTTTCCAGTTCTATTTTCTTCCTGATTGTAGTTCACATATCCAGCATTGTCCCCAAAACTTGTTTGCTAACCAAAATTTGTCCTGAAATTATTTCCTCCCGATCTGTTAGCACTCAGGGCAGTGGATTCCATCACCAATTGATTGTTTGGTTTTTCCTCTCTTTGTTTCTCCTCTTGGATGAGAATTGAAAAGGCTTGTGCAAGTGAGGGCAATGGATTCATCATTAAAATGCTCCCCCTAACCACAATATAAACTTCGTTTAGTCCCATTAGAAATTGAATCAGCCTTCTATCCTGTTTTGCTTTCTGTATGTTCGCTTTAGCACCACATGTGAAATTGCATTTGCACTGAGCATGTGCATTTAGTGTGTTCAGTTCTTCCCATAGTTTCTTCATCTTAGTATAGTACCCCATGATATCTAGGGTTCCTTGACTCAATTCATTTTTCTCCCTTTGCAATTGGTACAATTTCGCCCCATTCGTCTGGTCGTATCTGTCTTCAAGCTCCTTCCAAAGTTCCTGAGCATCATTAACATACTGTAGACTATCCGCCAAATCCATCGAAATAGAATTTAGGATCCACTATGTGACCATATCACCACAACGCTCCCATTAATCATAATTAGGATCCTGAGGTTCTGGCTTTCTGCACTTTCCGTTTATGAATCCTACTTTATTCTTCACTGAGAGAGCTCTTAGAACTCCTCTTATCCACGATCTATATCCTAATCCGTCAAAAATCGTCGGTACAATTATAGAGCCAACACTCTCAGAGGGATGCATGTACAGCGTACTGGTCGAATCTAGAGCCAGATTCGTGGAATTTGTCATGTTCTCACTGTCGCCCATGATTATCGAGGGTCGATTTGAAGAATCTAAAGGAAATTCGATGTTCGCACAGGAAGAGAGAGTGTCGAGAGACTATGCTCGAATAGAGAAGGAAAAACGACTAAATTAAATTTAGGATCAAGAGCCAATCTCTGATACCATGACAAAATAGTAAGGAAGATGAAGAAGACAAGCTCACCTTAAGTGAGCTCTAATGGTGGTTGAGGAGAGCCATAGGAGGTGAAGCTTCTAGAAAGTTTCTTCTCAATTACATCAGAAAGAAAATGAGGTCCTTTGTACAATTGTAGAAAAATACAATGGATTGTGTTATGAATAGAATTCTATTTAGAGTGAATGTCTATCTTGTAGAGAGTTTTACTTTGTGGCTAAGTCATTTTTCTCCTATAAATAGAGGGGTCTTACCCCCATTGTAAATCATTCCAAAATTCAATAAGAATTCTCTCTCTTTCTCTCCAATATTGTTCTTCTACTTTTATTGTTTTATTACATGTTATCAGCACGAGACTCTACCGTCTCAAGAAGATTAAGGTACAAATTTTCTCCTCTTTTAATTATGACTGATATTATGAAAAGAAAGTTCGTTGCCCTTGAAATTTCGGGCAAGAACTATATGACATGGGTGTTGGATGCTGAAATCCATTTAGATGCAATGGGTCTTGGAGATGCCATTAAAGACAAAACTAAAGTATCCATCCAAGATTGTGCTAAGGCCTTGATTTTCTTGCGCCATCACCTTGATGATGGGTTGAAAATAGAATATCTCACAGTCAAAGATCCACTTGTTTTGTGGAATGGCTTAAAAGAAAGATATGACAACTTAAAGTTGGTCACTCTTCCACAAGCACGATATGATTGGCCTCATCTGAGGCTCCAAGACTTTAAGTCTGTTTCTGAATATAATTCTGCAATGTTCAGAATTACTTCTAAATTGAAAATCTGTGGAGATACTATCACTAATTATGATATGCTTGAAAAAACGTTCACAACGTTTCATGCCTCCAATATGGTCTTGCAACAGCAATACAGAGAGAAAGGTTTCAAGAAGTACTCTGAGTTGATTTCTCTTTTCCTTGTGGCTGAGCGAAACAATGACTTGCCCATGAGAAATCACGAAAATCGACCCACTGGTCTACACCATTGCCTGAAGTGGATGAGGTGTATTCCTATTATGCTAAGCGTGGAAAAGGTCGTGGCCCTATTCGTGGTCGTTGTCGTGGTCATGGTCGTGGCCGTGGACAAGGAAGAAATTTTCCTGGTGTTAATCACCCCCCAAAGAAAAATAACCACCAAAAGTGGAAAGGGAATGATGAGAAAGCAAAGGCAAATGGTTCAGAAATCGAATGTTATCGTTGCGGTGAAAAAGGACATTGGGCAAATATTTGTCGTGTATCAAGACATTTGGTTAAGCTTTATCAAGCATCTCTAAAGAATAAAGGCCCTGAAGCCAATTTTGTCTCTGACAATGATTTTGACATCACCCACTTAGATGTGACAGACTCTTTTGAACGCCCTAATGGAAAATTAGACTACTTGATCGGTGATGGATCCGTGGTTAAAGATGATTGAGTAGTTTAATTTTTTATTTTTATTTTTGCTATTCGTTGTAGTTAGTTTTTTTTTTCATACTTGAAACCATACGAGAAAATAAGATAGTAGTATTTGTTATTATTTTAATATTACATTGTGATTACAACAAGAAGAATTGCAGTTAACACGTGTTTTTAGAAATGTTTGTATATAACTACGTCTTCAAATGTTATTTTGTTTATGTGGATGTTATTTTCTTATATATCCATAAGTGTAGAGCACTTGATACAGGCTACAGTACATAGAGATATTTAATCGCAATATAATTTGTTTTTTTTTAAATTATTCGTTAGTATTATAAGTATACACTCTAAAAATACTAATGTTTATTCGTATATTTCTTTTGTATGTCAAACAATGGGAAGCAAATATGAATATCTCACAAACAAACTTGGATCAGAGTTTAATTGTAAAAATATTTGTTTAATTGATTCATGTACGACACATACAATATTCAAAGAGAAGAAATATTTCTCTCATTTAAATATGTGTAAGGCAGATGTTACTATAATTTCTGGTAGTAGTAAATTAATTGAAGGCTCTGGGAGCTACTATAACTCTGCCTAAGGGAACAATACTTATCATAGAGAATGCAATGTTTTCCTCCAAGTCCAAAAGGAACTTGTTGAGTTTTAAAGATATCCGTCGAAATGGATATCATATTGAAACAATAGATGAGAATAATCTTGAATATCTCATCATTACCAAGAATGTCTCTGGCCAAAAGAGGGTTATTGAGAAATTTCCATCTTTATCTTGTGGCCTGTATTGGACAAGAATTAGTGCAATTGAAGCACATTCTACCGTAAACCAAAAGGTTACTGATTCCAATACTTTTATACTTTGGCATGATCGATTGGGACACTCTGCATCAATTATGATGAGACGAATTATAGAAAACTCAAATGGACATTCATTAAAGAATTTAAAGATTCTTTTAAATAATGAATTTTCTTGCACTTCTTGTTATCAAGGCAAGTTAATTATTAGACCATCACCAACAAAGGTTGGAATTGAGTCTCTGCATTTTTGGAACGTATACAAGGGGACATTTGTGGACCTATTCACCCACCTAGTGGGTCGTTTAGATATTTTATGGTCTTAATAGACGCATCTTCTAGATGGTCCCATGTGTGCCTATTGTCATCTCGCAACCTCGCGTTTGCAAAATTAATAGCACAAATAATTCGATTAAGGGCACAATTTCCCGATAATTCAATTAAGTCTATTAGACTCGATAATGCTGCTGAGTTTTCATCCCAAGCATTTAACGATTATTGCTTATCAATTGGGATAAAAGTGGAACATCATGTAGCTCATGTTCACACTCAAAATGATCTTGCAGAGTCTTTAATTAAACGTCTGTAATTGATAGCAAGACCGTTACTCATGAAAACGAAACTGCCCACTTCTGTTTGGGGTCACACCATTTTGCATGCAGCAATGCTAGTTCGTCTCAGACCAACAAATTATCATAAATATTCCCCATTGCAATTAGTTTTGGGTCATGAACCTAATATATCCCATTTAAGGATTTTTGGATGCGCAGTATATGTGCCTGTAGCACCGCCATATCGCACCAAAATGAGTCCCCAAAGAAAGTTAGGAATATATGTTGGGTTTGAATCGCCCTCCATTATTCGCTATCTTGAAACATTAACGGGTAATTTATTCACTTCTCGATTTGTAGACTGTCGATTCGATGAGACACTTTTCCCAAAATTAGGGGGAGAAGTTGGTGAAACCAAACGGAAAATTTTGTGGAAAAATCCATCATTATCTCATCTTGATCCACGTGCCTCTATTTGTGAAAAAGAGGTGCAAAAGATTATCCATTTGCAGAGAATAGCAAATCAAATGCCAGACGCATTTACGGATTTGAAAAGGATAACAAAATCACATATCCCTGCAGAGAATGTTCCAATCCGTATTGATGTCCCTATTGGACAATCTTCTAGTGTCATAGCTAATGAGTCAAAAGCACGCCTAAAACGTAGTAGACCATTAGGTTCCAAAGATCAAAATCCTAAAAAAAGGAAAACAAATGATCAAAATGACACTACGAAAGAACCTCATGAAGAAATCCACGATTTAATAAATTCTGAGATTCATGAGGAATCCACTGAGCCCGAGGCTCAAGAAAATAAGGAACTATCAATAAATCCAATCGATATTGAGACAAATTTGAATTAAGTGGATATAACGGTGGATTGTGTCTTTGCATATAATGTTGCATCTAGCATTATGCAAGAAAGTGAGGATCTTGAACATCAATCTATTGGAGAATATCGACAAAGACTTGATTGGCCAAAATGGCAAGAAGCAATCCAATCTGAGTTGAATTCACTTGCAAAACGTGAAGTTTTTGGGCCTGTAGTCCAAACACCTAATGGTGTTAAGACCGTTGGCTATAAATGGGTATTTGTACGCAAGAGAAATGAGAAAAATGAGGTACAACGATATAAGGCATGCCTTGTTGCACAAGAATTTTCACAAAGGTCTGGTGTCGATTATGAAGAGACATATTCACTCGTTATGGTTGCTATAACTTTCCGTTATCTCATTAGTTTTGCTGTCCATGAAAAGCTTGACATGCATTTAATGGATGTGGTTACCGCCTACCTTTATGGCTCACTTGATAATGAGATATACATGAAAATTCCCGATGGATTTAAAATGCCAAACGCACATAATTCAAAGTGTCGGGAAATATTTTAAATCAAATTGCAAAGATCTTTGTATGGTCTAAAGCAATCAGGACGAATGTGGTATAATCTTCTTAGTGAGTATTTATTAAAGGAAGGCTATATAAATGATGTCATTTGCCCATGTGTTTTTATAAAGAAAACAACATCGGAATTTGTTGTACTTGAAGTATATGTTGATGACATAAACCTTATTGGAACTCCTATAGAACTCCAAAAGGCAATTGATTATTTAAAGATGGAATTCGAGATGAAAGATCTTGGAAAGACAAAATTATGTCTTGGTTTGCAAATTGAACATTTAGCAAATGGAATTTTTGTTCATCAATCTGCCTACATAGAAAAGGTATTAAAACGGTTTTACATGGATGAAGCACATCCATTAAGTACTTCGATGGTTGTTCGATCACTTGATGTGAA